CTCGTCTAACTTAGGATCAGTTTTTTTTTTTTTTTTTTTTTTTTTTTTTTTTTTTTTTTTTTTTGTTTTTTTGTTATTACATGAAGGTTGTTTCTATAAAGTATCACTATAGAGAGGTTTTATTGTATATATATAACTAATTAATTATAGGCATTAACTAGTGGAGGAAGGTAAATTTGATGATAGTAATTTTAGGGTTTACTGAGTGATGTAATATTTGCTAAGAGCAATGCTAGTTTTATAAAGATACATACAAAGGGGGTATACAAAGACAATCCCCACCATTGATTTTCATTATTTCTTTCTTTCTCTCTCTCTCTCTCTCTCTCTCTCTCTCTCTCTTTCTGTTTTTTCTTTCTTTTTTTCTTCTTGATGATATCACTTTATAACCCTCTTTGTATGGGTCTTTGTAAAGATAACATTTTCCATTTGCTAATTGTTGTGGATAGATTAATTAATAGTATCGAGATATTTACAAGCCTTACAAAGAGATATACAAAGAGTCATACAAATAGTCAAATCTAACCCTTAAAAGAAAGGAAAAAAAGAGAGAGAAAGATTTCAAGGGTAGATTTAACTCTTTATATAGCTCTTTGTATGCCTCTTTGTAAGATTAGTATTACTCTATTTACAAACCCAATAGATACATAGCTCATGAAATATGTTTGAATTGAAGGCGGATTGTAACGACTAAAGAAAATTATGGAAACTGAATAAAGGAAAAAACTGTTTAGAAAGCCCAGTACCGCATAAGCTAAAAAGGATGTGTTATACATATAGCTGTGTTCATAAATGCAGACTGCACTACAACTGGAAAAATTTCAAAAATAATCGTCAAGAATATATATCATATTATACACGTTAATTATTTCAAACCCTTTACAAAATAAATAAATAAAATATTAAGTAAAATTTATCTATCGCGTTGCACTGGATACTATATTTAATTATGTGTACAATTAAGAGGTTTATATATCATATTAGAAGTGAATATGACTATCATGTAAAAACCAGAAAATAATCATAGATTCGTAATAGAAAATACCACCCAAATCTTTGTATAGTCTGTCCCCGTAAGAACTGGGACGAGACAGCTGTCAATATGAGCATTCACAGCGTTCACTGTGGCTGCTGTGAAAACCCGGCAAATTGGACAAACCATATCTAATTTCTCTCCTTCCTCCTCCACCAACTTATTCCTTCTTTAGCTTCAGCATTTTCAACACCAGAGGAGTTGGAGTTGTTTGATGATCTGAGAAGGTCAAGTTCGTGGGACCACCAGCGGAATTTGGTGACGGTGATCGGTGGAAGAAAGGTGAGATATTCTTCTTTGCTAATATCTCATCCGTCCCTCCACTAAACGGCCAGCATTTCACCACGTCAACGCTTCTCATCTTCGCCGCATATTCACTGCAACACGTCAAACAAGACAACAAGTTCACAAACACTCAAAACTAAACCCCCAAAACAAAGAAAGAAACTACCAAAATAGTAACTGCTACTAACACTCTTAAAACTTACCGGATCGAGAAGCCCTCAAACACAACAGCCATAGCTAGACAGCAACAGCAAGGATATAGTATTACAGTTAGTCGTATTATAAAAAAACAACACCTAGATAGAGAGAGAATAGAGAAACAAACCGACGAACGGAAGAAAGAGCCAACAATTATCCTTTCAAAATTAAAACGAAGGATCGCTTAAACAGCTTCTAAGTAGAAATTTGACAAGAAGAACCGTAGACAAAAGAATAGAAGGGCGCCATGGACCATGGTTAACATAGTAACAGATGAGATTAGAGAGGGAGAGAAAAGAGTTGAGAAGGAGAGATGAAAGGCTTTATTTTCCCGCTCGAGAGAGAGAGAGAGAGAGTGAGTGTGATATATCTGTTTCCATAGCAATTAGCTTACCTCTATTGCTTTCCCTTAATTTATGACTGAAAGCGACGTATGAGAATTGAGATCGCAAGCGACCGCTAAGTGTTTCAGAGTATATCGTATACAATCTTTTTTTAATTCATTAAATAATTCTTTTTCGTTATTTTATTCAATAAATTAACAGTACACTCTATGTCTTATTTTTACTTGTAGCACTCATACGCACTGTTGTAAGTAAAGGAACAAAGATCGATGGTAAGACAAACCAACCATACGCGATGTATATCAGAGCGTATTTTACACGCGCCGTTTACGTAGAGAAGAATTGATTTACAATTAGTGCAGTCAGAGAAGTGGGGTTGTTTGGTATTAAATTTGCAGCTGGTGGTTCTCATTTACGTACAAAACGTGGGCTCAATGGTACCAAGATTGATCTTGCGTCTACTTTTACATACACCATTTTATATATATATATATTTCATTCTTCATTCAGTTTATGAACTTTTACAGACTTTGAGAAGAGTTAATGTATAACAAGAATTGTTGGGTGTAATGAAACGCATGAAAGAGTTTAACAGCGTTGTCTTTCTGCAGGTTGAGGAGAAAGGTCATTCTATATCTATATGGCTTTCAGTATTAATTCTGCAGTTAATGGCAGGCCACAAACTTACAATTATTCATTCATCTTGATTCAAGGTAAAGTCCAGAGATGTTCAGTAGCTAATCATCGTAGCTGTACAATTCTGGCCGCCTTTGAGCTTTAAACTTGAATTCACAGGCACCGTTCTTATATCATAACAAAACTATAGTCACCTCTATATATGTTTGATAGTATATCTTACCATTTATAATGTTACTAGTCACTTGTGAAGACATGTGTGAATTCCTAAGACCCATCTGGATTAGTTCATTCATTAATTAGTTTATAAAAGATGCACCCCTATGTAAAATGTGAAATATATTGTTATAATAAACTAAATGACATCGCACGAAGAAATTTTAAGAACATCATGAAGATGACCCTTATATGATGAATGAGGATTTGTTTAACTCGTCGGTAGGTATGCCAAGTACGACTTTTTTATTTACAAATAAAATTGAAAAAGGATCATTTTGGAAGTGAAATTTCTCTTTACGTATTACATAATATAAATCTCGATATCATTGTCTAAAGGCGACATGCATCATGCATGTCTATTAATGCGGTCAGGAAAGAAATATTTTGATAATCTGATCACCTTCACAAGCTTCTACTGTATGGTTAAATGAAGTTCCTCTTTCTTAATTTTAATCAAAAAAAAACTGTCCTCTGCCTCTTGGCTTCACAAATCACAAGTGCTATCACGACACTCACTGGAGCCCTCAAAACAAATAAGAAGATAACGATGAGGAATAAATACTAATTTAAGCATCCAAACAGACACTTCTGAGATCTTTGTGGCTTTACAGGACTCTAAACTGTTCATTGTCAACCCAATTAATTAACATGTATAACTTTTGGCTTCAGTTGGAATCAAACTATACAGCCTCTCTCAAGTTTGATCAGCGCCTCGGTTATATCATAAGCATTAAAAATTATGAACTCGCTTTACATTAAAGTTCCAGAATAAAGTGAACTGGTAATCTTTCATAGTATATATGTATGCACTCTGATCAAGAAAAACTAAATACAGTAGCCCTCGAATAATTTATTTTTACCAATAATTCATAGTTTTTTTTTTTTTTTTTTACAGAAAATTCAGAAATCAACTTCATTGGGATTTTAATTTATAGCAATAGAGTCTCTAATAATAACTAATTATGAGTACTCTTTTGATTTGTATTTTACAGAAAATTCAGAAATCAACTTCATTTGGGATTTTAATTTATAGCAATAGAGTCTCTAATAATTAACTAATTATGAGTACTCTTTTGATTATGTATGAACGAATGGTAAAGAAGATAAATCATAAACCTTTACAAATAGAGTATTGATCTCTTTCACCATTCTTCTATTCATGTACTTCGCCATAACATACCTACTTCATTACAATGATGTTAACAAGGTCCTTTCATATTTGAAGACTTTACAAGGAGATTTACAATGATAATGATAAAGATTAAATGATATAGGAAGAAGGAACAAATAAATGAAATAGTGTTTAGTCACATTTTTTTTTTTCCTTTTATTCTCATTAATGTTTTATTAAAGTCTATTTTCAATTGAAGACATGCAGTGGCAAGAATCTCATCACTGTGGCATCTAAAATCTCCCAATAACATCTTTAACTGAAAATCCATCATCAACGATCTAGGCTGCATTGTCATTGAATCATTAGCTGACTGGAAAAGGCCAAACATATAAGGAAATAACGGGGTTTGTTATCACCAACAAGCTAAAACTATATATAAGAAGATAATTAGAAAAATATAACCATTGAAATTCTAAATTTCTACCAGTTGAAAAATAGAGCATATTCCATCAACAAATATCTTATGATTCATAATTTGTTGGACTATCTGACCAGCATCTATTTAAGGCTATTCAGATGGCAATTTGTTAGTTGTTTCTAGATAGATGACTTTCAAGGACAAAACAGAAGTCAGAATATCAACTCTCATAGTCCTAGACTACTAATGCAAGTTATGAGATTAAAGCCTTCGTGCTGTAAAGGTAAAAAATTGACAAGCAATATGTTCTTCTCAATCATAATATTTTGGACAGAAATTGAAGATTTTTCATTGGCTATTTCCTGTTAACCCTTTTATAGAACCTTAAGTCATTCTCTAATCCATATGGTACTAAGCATTCTCTGGACAAATTGGCATATCATAATACCACTTCAAGGTCTGCCATGCAATGGTACTATCAAACAATCAGCTCAGTTAATAGCTTCAATCATAGTAGCAATGTTCAATCAGTACTCCCTTAACAAAACATAGAATAAATCCCTAATTGGAAATATAATGTTGAATCCAAAGACACCAAGATGCTTCCCTATTTTAATAAAGATTTCCATACAATAATAGAAAGGACCTGCAACGTTGTGGTTCTATCAAGGGGCTAAGTAGCAAATTATCCAAATGGCATATTTCCATAACAAAATATCAACAAGATAATGTCGCCTTGAAGCTCAAAATTCTCTAAAAATTAAGTTTCCCAGTCAAAGGATCATCAGCATAGCCAATGAGTGGAAGCTTCTCATGGGCACACATCTCCTGAAGTACCATTCCATTGAACTTAGACAAATAAGGAGATTTTTTCCAAACACTTTAACAACATAAAATCCCAAAATTAAACAACCATAAAATCAGTCTCTTCTCCTCTTTGACAAAGAACATCACTTATATGCAAATGTACTTTTCCTATACCAACAAAAAGCCAATCCAAGTAATATATATTCCCTTCACAACATAATGTTTATGTGCTTAAAACACATATTATTCAAGTAATCAATAATTTAACAACATTCTACAACTTTCTCATTTCTGGCATTGCACGATCAGCTTCCCCATGCATTTAACATACTACACTATCAATATCGTCCACAAGATATCTTAGCACATATGTTGTTGTGATCTAATCCGCCAAATACTCCATTGGTGTGTCATCAACAAGCCCACCTCATCACCAAGTCAATACTTCTAGTTAAAACTTACTTTTGACATACAATTATAAACAATGCATATTTCAAAATCCTCCAATCGATAAAAGCAAACACAAGCTACTCATCAAATTATCAGCCCCGACCTCAGACCCAAATGATTATCTTTCACATAATTATAATATTGCAAGTCTGCAATAGTTGAAAGAAACAACATCATTAATCAGGGATACATATGCTAAACCAAGGACAAAATCCCTTCAACTTATAAAAGCCCCTCTGCCCAACCCGTACTCTACAGCTGGAGTACCGCACAACACCACAACACCCCAACCACACCACCCCCCCTCCCCTCCCTATAGCCTGCTCAAACCTTCCCAAACATGAAAACCCCATCTCTTTCTTTTAACGTTTTCTCTTTATGCTGAACCTAATTGCACATAACAGGTACAATTACGAGGGTAATGGCTCTCGGTCTTCAAACTACATACAGTCTTTAACCAGCTTTTCCAGCCGTCAATTTAGGCATAAAGTGAAAAGATAGGATAATCCTAACGAAGATTGTGTACAGTAATCAATCATGAAATTCAATCCAAGAAAAAATCCAGTATCACAAGCCTACAGTATTAACAAAAAAATAAACATTCTTTACCTGACATAAAATAATGAATCATCATAATCCTTCTGCAATGAAAATGTTCTAAATCTAAAATTAACTTCAGTCGCAAAACCAAACAATACAACAATATATAATAGTAATCCGTAGAACACATACCTTGTTTGTAATTAGCCTATTCTTTAAACTCTTATTCTTCAACTTCTTCTTCTTCGTCAACTTGTTAACCATTTTCACTTTCTTCATCTTATTCTTCTTTTTCTTCTCAATCTTGAAATTAAACTCAGCACTAGTACAATCCAGTTCATGTAGCTGACCGTCCTCTTTATCCAAATTGTCGTCATCAACATCAACCTTGTCGATCTGCCGAGACTCAGCAAATATCTCGACGATAGATCTTTTTTTAGGCGGTCTTGATTTTGCCTTTATGGCCAATCTCATTTGGCGTCTGTCCTCCCTTGAAGCCTGGACGAGACAGCTGTCAATATGTGCATTCACAGCGTTCACTGTGGCTGCTGTGAAAACCCGGCAAATTGGACAAGCCATATCTAATTTCTCTTCTTCCTCCTCCACCAACTTATTATCTTCTTTAGCTTCAGCATTTTCAACACTAGAGGAGTTGGAGTTGTTTGATGATCTGAGAAGGTCAAGTTCGTGGGACCACCAGCGGAATTTGGTGACGGTGATCGGTGGAAGCAAAGGTGCGATATCTTCTTTGCTAATTATCTCATCCGTCCCTCCACTAAACGGCCAGCATTTCACCACGTCAACGCTTCTCATCTTCGCCGCATATTCACTGCAACACGTCAAACAAGACAACAAGTTCACAAACACTCAAAACTAAACCCCCAAACCAAAGAAAGAAACTACCAAAATAGTAACTGCTACTAACACTCTTAAAACTTACCGGATCGAGAAGCCCTCAAACACAACAGCCATAGCTAGACAGCAACAGCAAGGTATATCGTATTACAGTTAGTCGTATATATAAAAAAAACAACACCTAGATAGAGAGAGAATAGAGAAACAAACCGACGAACGGAAGAAAAAGCCAACAATTATCCTTTCAAAATTAAAACGAAGGATCGCTTAAACAGCTTCTAAGTAGAAATTTGACAAGAAGAACCGTAGACAAAACAATAGAAGGGCGCCATGGTTAACATTAGTAACAGATGAGATTAGAGAGGGAGAGAAAAGAGTATGAGAAGAGAGAGAAATGAAAGGCTTTTCATTTTCCCGCTCGAGAGAGAGAGAGAGAGTGAGTGTGATATATCTGTTTCCATAGCAATTAGCTTACCTCTATTGCTTTCCCTTAATTTATGACTGAAAGCGACGTATGAGAATTGAGATCGCAAGCGACCGCTAAAGTGTTTCAGAGTATATCGTATACAAATCTTTTTTTTAATTCATTAAATAATTCTTTTTCGTTATTTTATTCAATAAATTAACCAGTACACTCTTATGTCTTATTATTACATTGTAGCACTCATACGCACTGTTGTAAGTATAAAGGAACAAAGATTCGATGGTAAGACAAACCAAACCATACGCGATGTATATCAGAGCGTATTTTACACGCGCCGTTTACGTAGAGAAGAATTGATTTAGAATTAGTGCAGTCAGAGAAGTGGGGTTGTTTGGTATTAAATTTGCAGCTGGTTAGGTTCTCATTTACGTACAAAACGTGGGCTCAATGGTACCCAAGATTGATCGTCTACTTTTACATACACCATCTTTATATATATATTCTCATTCAGTCATTCTTCATTCAGTTAATGAACTTTTAGAGACTTTGAGAAGAGTTAATGTATAACAAGAATTGTTGGGTGTAATGAAACGCATGGAAAGAGTTTAACAGCGTTGTCTTTCTGCAGGTTGAGGAGAAAGGTCTATTCTATAATCTATATGGCTTTCAGTATATAATTCTGCAGTTAATGGCAGGCCACAAACTTACAATATATTCATTCATCTTGATTCAAGGTAAAGTCCAGAGATGTTCAGTAGCTAATCATCGTAGCTGTACAATTCTGGCCGCCTTTGAGCTTTAAACTTGAATGTCACAGGCACCGTTCTTATATCATAACAAAACTATAGTCACCTCTATATATGTTTGATAGTATATCTTACCATTTATTAATGTTACTAGTCACTTGTGAAGACATGGTGTGAATTCCTAAGACCCATCTGGGATTAGTTCATTCATTAATTAGTTTATAAAGATGCACCCCTATTGTAAAATGTGAAATATATTGTTATAATAAACTAAAATGACATCGCACGAAGAAATGTTTGAAGAACATCATGAAGATGACCCTTTATATGATGAATGAGGATTTGTTTAACTCGTCGGTAGGTATACCAAGTACGACTTTTTTATTATACAAATAAAATTGAAAAAAGGATCATTTTGGAAGTGAAATTTCTCTTTACGTATTACACAATATATAAATCTCAATATCATGTGTCTAAAGGCGACATGCATCATGCATGTCTATTTAAATGCGGTCAGGAAAGAAATATTTTTGATAATCTGATCACCTTCACAAGCTTCTACTGTATGGTTAAATGAAGTTCCTCTTTCTTAATTTTAAATCCAAAAAAAAACTGTCCTCTTGCCTCTTGGCTTCACAAATCACAAGTGCTATCACGACACTCACTTTGGAGCCCTCAAAACAAATAAGAAGATAACGATGAGGAATAAATACTAATTTAAGCATCCAAACAGACACTTCTGAGATCTTTGTGGCTTTGACAGGACTCTAAACTGTTCATTGTCAACTCAATTAATTAACAATGTATAGCTTTTGGCTTCAGTTGGAATCAAACTATACAGCCTCTCTCAAGTTTGATCAGCGCCTCGGTTCATATCATAAGCATTAAAAATTATGACACTCACTTATACATTAAAGTTCCAGAATAAAGTGCAACTGGTTAACTCTTTCATATGTATGCACTCTGATCAAGAGAAAACTAAATACAGTAGCCCTCGAATAATTTATTTTTACCAATAACTCATAGTTTTTTTTTTTTTTTTTTTACAGAAAATTCAGAAATCAACTTCATTTGGGATTTTAATTTATAGACAATAGAGTCTCTAATAATTAACTAATTATGAGTACTCTTTTGATTATGTATTTTACAGAAAATTCAGAAATCACTTCATTGGGATTTTAATTTATAGACAATAGAGTCTCTATATTAATAATTATGAGTACTCTTTTGATTATGTATGAACGAATGGTAAAGAGATAAATCATAAACCTTTTACAAATAGAGTAGTGATCATCTTTCACCATTTCTTCTATTCATGTACTTCGCCATAACATACCTACTTCATTACAACTTGATGTTAACAAGGTCCTTTCATATTTGAAGACTTTACAAGAGATTTACAATGATAATGATAAAGATTAATGATTATAGGAAGAAGGAACAAATAAATGAAATAGTGTTAGTATAAGAAATGAAGAAATTAAAATTTGACTGATGTTGTATATATATATATATACACGGTCGATTAAACTAATTTATTACTATGAAAAGATTATAACTTAATAGATATTGAGTTACAAAATTATTATTTTGATTTAGTTTATTAAGATTGGACCTAAAAAAATTATAACTTATTACAATGTGAATTTATTCTTATTTAATATTTATAACTCGTCTAACTTAGGATCAGTTTTTTTTTTTTTTTTTTTTTTTTTTTTTTTTTTGTTATTACATGAAGGTTGTTTCTATAAAGTATCACTATAGAGAGTTTTATTGTATATATATAACTAATTAATTATAGGCATTAACTAGTGGAGGAAGGTAAATTTGATGATAGTAATTTTAGGGTTTACTGAGTGATGTAATATTGCTAAGAGCAATGCTAGTTTTATAAAGTACATACAAAGGGGGTATACAAGACATCCCCACCATTGATTTTCATTATTTCTTTCTTCTCTCTCTCTCTCTCTCTCTCTCTCTCTCTCTCTTTCTGTTTTTTTCTTTCTTTTTTCTTCTTGATGATATCACTTTATAACCCTCTTTGTATGGGTCTTTGTAAAGAACATTTTCCATTTGCTAATTGTTGTGGATAGATTAATTAATAGTATCGAGATATTTACACCTTACAAGAGATATACAAAGTCATACAAATAGTCAAATCTAACCCTTAAAAGAAAGGAAAAAAAGAGAGAAAGATTTCAAGGGTAGATTTAACTCTTTATATAGCTCTTTGTATGCCTCTTTGTAAGATTAGTATTACTATTATTTACAAACCCAAAGATACATAGCTCATGAAATTTTTTTGATTTGAAAGCGCATTGTGACACTAAAGAAAATTTGGAAACTGAATAAAGGAAAAACTGTTTAGAAAGCCCAGTACCGCATAAGCTAAAAAGATGTGTTATAATATAGCTGTTTTCATAATGCAACTGCACTACAACTGGAAAAATTTCAAAAATAATCGTCAAGAATATATACATATTATACACGTTAATTATTTCAAACCCTTTACAAAATAAATAAATAATAATTAAGTAAAATTATCTATCGCGTTGCACTGGATACTATATTAATTATGTGCAATTAAGAGGTTTATATATCATATTAGAAGTGATATGACTATCATGTAAAAACCAGAAAATAATCATAGATTCGTAATAGAAAATACCACCCAAATCTTTGTATAGTCTGGCAATTGGATTATTCTTTCACTGTATTCCCGCAACACATAAGTTGGGACAAATTCAAAGCGCGTATACTGGCGATCAAATATTAGGGTTGGTGGTTAGTGTTAGCAAATGGTGAGAGGTCAATATGAAAAAGCAAGCAGTGATGATTATTGTAAAGAAACTGCAAACGTAAACACAAGGTACCTATTAATTTTTGGATGATGGATATATCATTGTATTTGGACTCATTCGATGATGGATAAATTAATCATAATATACAGAACCAAGATGGAGGAGCCAAAACTCCAAGCAAGGAAGATGAGATGAGTGAGAAACATAAGCGTGATGATAACGCCCAACTGTGGCGGACCGACACAAAAATGATGAAGGCTAGTTGAAGAGATGCGAGAGTTGGTAAGTGTGCGAAGAGAAAGCGAGTATGGTATATTGAGTTGGTTTGAGTAGGAGAAGATCTTAAAAGTACGTGAACATTATGAGGTAGCCCATGACACTGACCCCTTGAATTTAATTACAATTTTTATAGTATATGCTCTATACAAACAACATCGTAACCTTTTTACAATTTTCATTTCAATAAATAATGTGTAATGAACTGCATTATGATGCACCAAAATGTGTGTTAATGATAATGATACATGCATGGCAAGAGAGAATATACTACTAATACATGATACATAATACATCCAGCATGAATGAATGGTTAAATAATTGGGACAAGCACTCCACTGGAGAACTGACATGGATGATGACCCCTCCACAAACATCTGCATATGCTTATACTACATACTGTCAGAGCTTTTTCTTTTTTCTTTATGTTATTGCTTATAATTCATTTTTAATTTTGTAATTTAATCTTTATCTGTTCGAGATATTTGTGATCATGATTATTGAATACGTCATTGTTTGTTTACCAAATAATTCGTTTTGTAGAAAAATTAATTTAATACCTAACCACTAATTCATGACATAAACAATCACAATATTCTCAGTACGATCAAACTTGGTTAGAAAATGCATTGGTTTTGTCTAAAAATCAGACTGACATAAGCTTACATTACAAGTCCAATAAATTCAAAAGGTTTTATGTTGCTCAGAATCTATCACATCGCCCAAAGACAGAGAGAATATGGTTATCACCAACTCATAGGCTCAAGTTTTATCTGTGATGAATGAGGTCTGCACACCTGTCTAAGTCTCATATAATTTAAAGATATTTCTTAAGTTATCATCCGATAGGACGAAAAGCAAGACTTTCATGACGTCTACCCCACTTATAGACTTGTTCATTGCTTTGAACTCAGCACACTATAAATAAAGGACGCCTCCTCACAAATCTGGATCTTTGATTTCAACAAAATATACCAAAGATAAACCTACGAAAAGAGACGGTTTAATATTCTTTCTGAATACCAATCTCTTGTAATTCTATTCGCGTTTGCACTTCTTGTAACTTGGCTATAACCAAAAACACTCGTATAAAAGAAACAATGGTGTAAAATCCGCTTTAGGTA